ACCAGAAGATATATTTTTTTATTATGGGTATTGGGTACTATATATTACATTCCCAGGCACGAGATATGGAGGAATTAGATTATATATCTTATATATTTTCAGATACGAGAGAAGACGATACGACTTATTTCGGGTATTTAAATTTGCCTTGTATATTTCTCAAATATTATGATCCCTATTATCTTGAGTTTTATTCTTATCCAATCAGAATCATTATTTTCAAATATTTTCTTTTCGTAATAAATATTTTTTGTTTCCAATAATCCTTGGCTAGGTTTCAAAGACCCTGACGAAAGTTATATATTCCTATATGGCTACCACAAATGCTGAACACCTGAATCTAAGCTGCAACGCCAAGATCGTGGGGAGACCATTACCAGGGCAAACCTCGAGGCGCATCTGGTGAGTGAATGGCTGGCTGTCGGATATAGGGCTTATAGTTGAGATCGTCCGGGGTGCGATGTTTTCGATGTTATATATATATATATAGATATGAAATATACTATAGCGCGACACAGCACATCATAGCATGACATACTAGGACGTGACACGACAACATTTCAGGTGTGGCAATGCGACACGGCGCGGTGTGGTATGACATCACTCGGAAAACATCCCATCACCCAGCATAACAAGGACATGGCACAACCGATGCAACAGGACACGACGTAGCATACCATGTCAATGAACATGACCCGCCTTGACACAGACGGCTTCTGCCATCCACAACACACGGAGCAGAATTACATCATGTCGCATGGCATACCACGGGATACCACGAGGTTGTACTTAACTCTGGCTGGCCAGCGGACTTTGATGCTCGACACGGCCGACGACTTACAGGTCAGTGCAAGCAGGTCATCGTAAAAATTCAAGCCTGTACTGGCTACAGCGCCCTGTAACCACTTAACCACGGCAAGCGAGAGGATCACTCGGGACACGAAATGCGAAATCACCTCCAGCCAGGTCGAGACCCGCGGCGCCGGTGTACGGCGTTGTACACGCGCCGACTCCGACTCGAGAGGACCTCATCCGAAGACGTCTGCATAGCGCTGGCGCCGCTTGCACTCTGCGACGGCTTTCCCACTTTCTCAGGCGCAGCTTCGGAGATTTTGGAGGCCATGGTGTCGCCGTTGTGCTCGCCGTGCTGCGCAGCGAGCTCCTGCACATCTTCTGGGACACGGACCGCGTGGGCCACAGCAAAGAGCAATGGCCACGCAATGCACAGGAAGTGGCGCATGGCTCGCAGAAAGAAGACTCGTAAGACAACGTGATCGTCAGTGAATTGTTCGAGGCTGTCAGCTGCGGGGCAGTTTCTCCAAAGCCTGGCGCCAAGCCGAGCAACAAGGCCTTGCAAGCCTCGCGAACCTGTCCAAATGTGGTAGATTCCTGTCTTGATTGCAAAGAGGCGAATCTGGAGTTCTGCTGAGCTTTTTCTCCGAATCAAGGTTGCATCGTAAGGTCCTCAGGCGGGTGCACTGCATCTGTTTGGCGCGTGTTGGGCGAAAACTTCACAGTCTCCGTTCATTTCAACGTGACCTGTTTCTGTGGACAAGGGAGGGAGGGAGGAGGGAGAGGGAAGGGCGGGAGAGGGCGGGAGGGGAGGAGAGGGGAGGGAGGGAGGGGGGAAGAGGGAGGACGAATAGAGGGGGGGGGGGAGAGGGAGGGAGGGAGAGGGAGGGAGGGAGGGAGGCAGGGGTGTGGTGGGCGTGGGCGGAGTCTCGGTGTAATTCAAAGGGCCTTAGAGCAAAGCACTTCAGACACAGCCTACGCTTCCGTCTTGCCGTGGACACGAGCAGCAGACCCGATATCTCCAAATAGCAGCGGTCCTCTCCATGCTCGTCTATCCATCTGATCTTCATGGAGATCCTCAAGGACGCAAGGTTCTGGCAAGTCAGCGACGGGTGCACATTAGCAGCCAAATGCCACGCCCAGCACTGCATGGTTTTACAATCATGGAGAGAGTGGACGCTGGCATACTGAACTCAACAGACACAAGCTCTTGCTACCAAAGGGCCTGAGTCAGCTTGTCGTAGCCTTGGCATCAAGATAACATCCCGACATGATGCGCAGTGCAGTGCCGAGATGCACTGTTTGCCCAGGAACTCTTCAACGTCAGCCGCAGGGGTGGCGGCGTCGGCCGCGCCCCGGAAGATGAGGCCATGGCCCGGCCTTGGGCTGTTGGGGCAGTAAGGGGGAATGGGAGAGCTGCACAGGGCAAGGCCCTTGCCGTATCAAGGGGGCGGAGGCTGGAGGAAGCTGGACTACTACTTTGTTATTTTGCCTCACATACCCGACAACCAGCTGCACCAATATCCATTACCAAGGAGCTTTGCTGTCCGTATAGTTCAGCAATTGCTGCAAAAAGCGCATCAGCACTTCGTCACGCCGAATCACACACAGAATGTGTTCGTGCACTCGCACATTGCAAGCGCTGGGCATTGGAAGCTGGGCCCGGTGACGTTGATAAATATTACTTTCAGGCAGGTGCCCATTCGCACCTTGGAGCAATTTGTGCCGTCTGAGTCTGACAGTGTTTAATTCGCACAGATCTCGGCATCGGACCAGGATGTCCGTCTCCGTTAGCTGTGGAACTGCCAGACCAAACCACTCTCTTTTTGTCTCTCCCGCTCTGTGCACCAATGCCGGACCGGGCCAGAACTACAGGCACAGAGAGTGATGGATGCATGGTCATGCTCAAAACATCGTAGCACGATCCAGTGACCGTGTGCTGGGCCTTCTTCCACCTCTTCTGCAGGCTCAGCGGCATCCTTGTTGCAGCAGACATAGCACATCAAAAGCTCAAACCCCAGATTCAGCTTTCGGAACCCGCAATGGGACCCCTGCAGCTTCCCCTTCTGCCTCCTCTCCCTCCGGCCTCGGCAAGGATCTACAGGAGGCCAGACAGCGACATGCGGAAGACTGCAGTCAACATGCAGACAAACCGCTTCCCCTCTTTATCTTCTTTGAATCTCGTTGATACATGCACGTATGCGCCCCCGACGAATACTTCTCCCTAACCTGCGGAGCGCTGTTCGCTGTTGTATGTAATGCAGTCTCAATCTCATCTGGGCACGCTGCGGCGCCTCTTCCTCCTCATCTGCGGCCCTAAGAAGGAGCAATTCATGTTCAAGGCATCTCAGTCGGAAAGGGCGATCCAACATCTGCAGAACAAGGCTGTACGTGCTCGACTCTCTGCAGTCAGAACCGATAAACCCTTTTACACCAAAAAGAGTCTTGAAGCTGGAAGGCTCAACTACACCTGAGATTCCCGCTTTTCTGCAGGCACTTCCACAGTCTCACCCCCCTTCCAGGAATTGCAAGGAGCTTTGCGGACCCTGTGTAGCAGGAGCGTCATGTAGTCAGATGGCATGCGAGCATGCAGGCTGAGCCTCCTCTGCCATCGTGTCGCCCCCGGGACGGGTGAGCTGGATGTGCCCAAGTTTGGACTTGCTCTTGCGTGGACTGTTCAGGCCTATTGAAGCTGCTGGCACCCAGGTATACATACCTCAAGCTCCCGCTCCCCGCCACTGCAACATGTCTCGTGCTTACTCAATCCAGCATGGTTGATGCTGTCAAGCCGGTGGCGAGCTCGTCATCATCTTCAGCATTCAGCCGTAGAGACCAAAACTCACCCGACGGACCCTACTGGAAGTCAGTGCTGCCCAGGCAGGCCCAGGCCCTGAGGCGAACACATATACGCATGCACTCACAAACACCAGCGAACTTGCAACGGCACATACCATTATAAACTGATTTAGCATGCTACAGCGCGACACAGCACATAATAGCGTGACATACTAGGACGTGACACGACAACATTTCAGGTGTGGCAATGCGAAACGACGCGGCGTGGTATGACATCACTCGGAAAACATCCCATCACCCAGCATAACAAGGACATGGCACAACCGACGCAACAGGACACGACGTAGCATACCATGTCAATGAACATGACCCGCCTTGACACAGACGGCTTCTGCCATCCACAACACACGGAGCAGAATTGCATCATGTCGCACGGCATACCACGAGGTTGTACTTAACTCTGGCTCGCCAGCGGACTTTGATGCTCGACACGGCCGACGACTTACAGGTCAGTGCAAGCAGGTCATCGTAAAACCTGTACTGGCTACAGCGCCCTGTAACCACTTAACCACGGCAAGCGAGAGGATCACTCGGGACACGAAATGCGCAATCACCTCCAGCCAGGTCGAGACCCGCGGCGCCGGTGTACGGCGTTGTACACGCGCCGACTCCGACTCGAGAGGACCTCATCCGAAGACGTCTGCATAGCGCTGGCGCCGCTTGCACTCTGCGACGGCTTTCCCACTTTCTCAGGCGCAGCTTCGGAGATTTTGGAGGCCATGGTCTCGCCGTTGCGCTCGCCGTTGCGCTCGCCGTGCTGCGCAGCGAGCTCCTGCACATCTTCTGGGACACGGACCGCGTGGGCCACAGCAAAGAGCAATGGCCACGCAATGCACAGGAAGTGGCGCATGGCTCGCAGAAAGAAGACTCGTAAGACAACGTGATCGTCAGTGAATTGTTCGAGGCTGTCAGCTGCGGGGCAGTTTCTCCAAAGCCTGGCGCCAAGCCGAGCAACAAGGCCTTGCAAGCCTCGCGAACCTGTCCAGATGTGGTAGATTCGTGTCTTGATTGCAAAGAGGCGAATCTGGAGTTCTGCTGAGCTTTTTCTCCGAATCAAGGTTGCATCGTAAGGTCCTCAGGCGGGTGCACTGCATCTGTTTGGCGTGTATTCGGCGAAAACTTCACAGTCTCCGTTCATTTCAACGTGACCTGTTTCTGTGGACAAGGGAGGGAGGGAGGGAGGGAGAGGGAGGGAGGGAGAGGGGAGGGAGGGAAGAGGGAGGAGGGAGGGAGAGGGAGGAGAGGGAGGGAGGGAGAGGGAGGGAGAGGGAGGGAGAGGGAGGGAGGGAGAGGGAGGGAGGGAGAGGGAGGGAGGGAGAGGGAGGGAGGGAGGGAGGCAGGGGTGTGGTGGGCGTGGGCGGAGTCTCAGGGTGTAATTCAAAGGGCCTTAGAGCAAAGCACTTCAGACACAGCCTACGCTTCCGTCTTGCCGTGGACACGAGCAGCAGACCCGATATCTCCAAATAGCAGCGGTCCTCTCCATGCTCGTCTATCCATCTGATCTTCATGGAGATCCTCAAGGACGCAAGGTTCTGGCAAGTCAGCGACGGGTGCACATTAGCAGCCAAATGCCACGCCCAGCACTGCATGGTTTTACAATCATGGAGAGAGTGGACGCTGGCATACTGAACTCAACAGACACAAGCTCTTGCTACCAAAGGGCCTGAGTCAGCTTGTCGTAGCCTTGGCATCAAGATAACATCCCGACATGATGCGCAGTGCAGTGCCGAGATGCACTGTTTGCCCAGGAACTCTTCAACGTCAGCCGCAGGGGTGGCGGCGTCGGCCGCGCCCCGGAAGATGAGGCCATGGCCCGGCCTTGGGCTGTTGGGGCAGTAAGGGGGAATGGGAGAGCTGCACAGGGCAAGGCCCTTGCCGTATCAAGGGGGCGGAGGCTGGAGGAAGCTGGACTACTACTTTGTTATTTTGCCTCACATACCCGACAACCAGCTGCACCAATATCCATTACCAAGGAGCTTTGCTGTCCGTATAGTTCAGCAATTGCTGCAAAAAGCGCATCAGCACTTCGTCACGCCGAATCACACACAGAATGTGTTCGTGCACTCGCACATTGCAAGCGCTGGGCATTGGAAGCTGGGCCCGGTGACGTTGATAAATATTACTTTCAGGCAGGTGCCCATTCGCACCTTGGAGCAATTTGTGCCGTCTGAGTCTGACAGTGTTTAATTCGCACAGATCTCGGCATCGGACCAGGATGTCCGTCTCCGTTAGCTGTGGAACTGCCAGACCAAACCACTCTCTTTTTGTCTCTCCCGCTCTGTGCACCAATGCCGGACCGGGCCAGAACTACAGGCACAGAGAGTGATGGATGCATGGTCATGCTCAAAACATCGTAGCACGATCCAGTGACCGTGTGCTGGGCCTTCTTCCACCTCTTCTGCAGGCTCAGCGGCATCCTTGTTGCAGCAGACATAGCACATCAAAAGCTCCGCAATGGGACCCCTGCAGCTTCCCCTTCTGCCTCCTCTCCCTCCGGCCTCGGCAAGGATCTACAGGAGGCCAGACAGCGACATGCGGAAGACTGCAGTCAACATGCAGACAAACCGCTTCCCCTCTTTATCTTCTTTGAATCTCGTTGATACATGCACGTATGCGCCCCCGACGAATACTTCTCCCTAACCTGCGGAGCGCTGTTCGCTGTTGTATGTAATGCAGTCTCAATCTCATCTGGGCACGCTGCGGCGCCTCTTCCTCCTCATCTGCGGCCCTAAGAAGGAGAAATTCATGTTCAAGGCATCTCAGTCGGAAAGGGCGATCCAACATCTGCAGAACAAGGCTGTACGTGCTCGACTCTCTGCAGTCAGAACCGATAAACCCTTTTACACCAAAAAGAGTCTTGAAGCTGGAAGGCTCAACTACACCTGAGATTCCCGCTTTTCTGCAGGCACTTCCACAGTCTCACCCTCCTTCCAGGAATTGCAAGGAGCTTTGCGGACCCTGTGTAGCAGGAGCGTCATGTAGTCAGATGGCATGCGAGCATGCAGGCTGAGCCTCCTCTGCCATCGTGTCGCCCCCGGGACGAGTGAGCTGGATGTGCCCAAGTTTGGACTTGCTCTTGCGTGGACTGTTCAGGCCTATTGAAGCTGCTGGCACCCAGGTATACATACCTCAAGCTCCCGCTCCCCGCCACTGCAACATGTCTCGTGCTTACTCAGTCCAGCATGGTTGATGCTGTCAAGCCGGTGGCGAGCTCGTCATCATCTTCAGCATTCAGCCGTAGAGACCAAAACTCACCCGACGGACCCTACTGGAAGTCAGTGCTGCGCATGCAGGCCCAGGCCCTGAGGCGAACACATATACGCATGCACTCACAAACACCAGCGAACTTGCAACGGCACATACCATTATAAACTGATTTAGCATGCTACAGCGCGACACAGCACATCATAGCATGACATACTAGGACGTGACACGACAACATTTCAGGTGTGGCAATGCGACACGACGCGGCGTGGTATGACATCACTCGGAAAACATCCCATCACCCAGCATAACAAGGACATGGCACAACCGACGCAACAGGACACGACGTAGCATACCATGTCAATGAACATGACCCGCCTTGACACAGACGGCTTCTGCCATCCACAACACACGGAGCAGAATTGCATCATGTCGCATGGCATACCACGGGATACCACGAGGTTGTACTTAACTCTGGCTGGCCAGCGGACTTTGATGCTACGGTCGACGACTTACAGGTCAGTGCAAGCAGGTCATCGTAAAACCTGTACTGGCTACAGCGGCCTGTAACCACTTAACCACGGCAAGCGAGAGGATCACTCGGGACACGAAATCCGAAATCACCTCCAGCCAGGTCGAGACCCGCGGCGCCGGTGTACGGCGTTGTACACGCGCCGACTCCGACTCGAGAGGACCTCATCCGAAGACGTCTGCATAGCGCTGGCGCCGCTTGCACTCTGCGACGGCTTTCCCACTTTCTCAGGCGCAGCTTCGGAGATTTCGGAGGCCATGGTCCCGCCGTTGCGCTCGCCGTGCTGCGCAGCGAGCTCCTGCACATCTTCTGGGACACGGACCGCGTGGGCCACAGCAAAGAGCAATGGCCACGCAATGCACAGGAAGTGGCGCATGGCTCGCAGAAAGAAGACTCGTAAGACAACGTGATCGTCAGTGAATTGTTCGAGGCTGTCAGCTGCGGGGCAGTTTCTCCAAAGCCTGGCGCCAAGCCGAGCAACAAGGCCTTGCAAGCATTTCAAGCCGAGAAATGCAGAAACCCGTTGCTGCGGCTGCAGAGCCAGCTTTTTCGGAATTCCAGGGTATGTCACAAGCTGGTTCACGTGCAGCGTAGTGTTAGATGCACTGCCGTGGGTGCAGCACTGAACCCAACCCTCCGTGCGTGGTTTCGCAACGCGATTGGGATGAAGGGCTTCGGCAGGATTCTGAGTGGACGAAGTGTTTGCCATTTAGTAGGACGTTGACAGATGTTTCGAGACTCATTGATGATTCTGCTTGACGAAGCGGATGCGTTCAGTTGCGCGCATGGCGCTTTGCTTGGTCTGTTGTCGCCAGTGCAAATAGAGGGTCCATGAAGACGAGTTTGCTGTGTGTCCGACGTGTGCAGCTGGAGTTCAGCTTTCGCTTGCCTTCCTTGCTTGGTATCGTCGTTCCGCTGATTTGTGTCTCCTTTGCCCGTCTCCCCTTTTGCATCGGGAAGCCCATCTAGTAATCTAGTCTTAGTCTTGCAGCGCGGCAATGTCTTTGTGATCCATGCGAACCACTCAGCTTATTAATTTCGGTGCTTTTACGGATTGTGGACATGTTGTACCGCAGCTGCGGCTTGAGAAGCCTGCCGATAACGGCCTAATTCATCCACGCGGCTGTCGGACTCAACTCCTGCGCACCACGGGCAATGACGCTTAGTTCAGCTGTAAAGCTCGTGGATCAGTGTTTTCATGTGCCGCATGGAACCTTCATGGACCCGACAAATGACCCCAAACCCTGAGCCCTAGACTCTGCGCCGGAGAAGGCAGCCACACGGTTTCGAAAACTAAATGGGTACAACACACTCACACTTCCCCTGAGCAGCCCCAAGCTTCAAAAAACGGAGACCCCCGGGCCTGCAACTGTTGGAGGGAGTGAAAAAGCTTGCCGGGCACCTCCCCAAGCGCTTTAGGCAGTAGTTCTGGCGACAGCAATCCGATTTTCGCCTCGTGGGTAGAGAGGCTGTGTCGTGTAAAGGGCTTCACAACAGCTGAGTCACCCTACTTCCAGCATCTGCCTCGGTTTTGCCGTTAGGCATATCAAACTGCTCACTCATGCGAAGCTGCTGATCTGCGAGCCTTTGGCGGCACAATCACGAACCTACACGCGGCAGCACTCCTTTGGACCGCCAGACCCGACACCGAAATGACTGGATGGCTGGAGCACCTTCCCAGATGGCGCGGACTCGACGGCACAAACAGCCGCGCTCACCACGCACTCCACCGCCTCCTGGCACTAACCCCGGAAGGAACCAGCCCTCCCTGTTGAAAGCGGCCTCTGACGGCCCAGAGTTTTTCGAAAGTGGAACGGAAGAAATTCCCAGGGAGTCGAGCCTGCTGAATCACAGGTGGTCCAAAGTAAGAGCTTCAAACTCGATATTATGTAGCACCAACTGGGCCCCAACCAGGACGAAAAGATGCAGAAGCAAAACGACTGTTGCAAATCGCTTTTGATCTACCTACAAACCTGGTCAGTCACTCTCCGTGACTAACTTGTACTGCGCAGGATCAAGCACCCAGAGCCGCTGCCCATCCCAGAGGCTCCGGTCCGCAGACCCCCAAGCGACCAGCGAAAACGGTGCATGTACGCAAACTGGAAGAAGATAGAAACAGACACTGGCATAGTTTGAGAAAGCGGTACACAGATCAACCGAAAGTCTGTCCCCGCATCGCAACATCGCCAAACGCAACACACACCAACCTTGAACACGGAAAAACCCAAAACCCTAAATAACAGCCCTAAACCCCTAAGCCCTAAACTGTACACTGTACACTCTAACACCCTCCTGAACTCACAGTCCTAGTCCGCAGCCCCACAGACACAACGAACGCAAGAAAAACCCTAAACCCCAACCTTAAGCCCTAAATCCAAAACAAGCCCTGAACCGAAACCGTAAACCCTAAACGAACCCTACAGCCCGAACTCCTGAACCGTAGAGGTTGCCACAAACCCTAGACCCTGAACTCGCTCAGGCCCTGAGCCCCAGACTGGCACAGTTTCCCACAACTGCTAATTGCTGACGGTTGGGCGCGCTTCTCCACCCGTTCCCTTGTGGGCTGTTTGCCGCCTAAGGTGTCTAGGAGACCCGAAGATCAAATATGAAGTCTCGTTTCTGGTTGCATGCACCCTGCAGGGCTCTTTTATTGAGTGGATGCGTGATGCGAGACCCACAGCTTTCGCATTGATTGGATGAGGCCCTCCCAAGCCCTGGAGAGCCAAAATCACCCCCAAAAGAAAAGGCGCAAAAGAACAAGCCAAAAACCCTGAACCCTGAGCCGAAAGCCACCCAAGGACAGGTCTTAAACCCTAAACACTCAGGCCACGCACACACCACCACTCAAAAACTCTGAGGTGCGGAGCCCAAGCCCCCCACCCACACGCGCGAAGAAGCCCTAACTCACAAACCCCCAACACTTCCCGTTGCGTGCAGGGCGAAGCTTCTGCGCAGGTCTGTCGAGGGTCTGTCGACTGCGTTTTATAGTCTCGCGCAACTGATTACTGTATCGGCAAATCGGGTCCCTGCTCCGATGTCCGGTTTTGAAACCACCAAAGATTGCAGCCACATTC